TTGACCACATGCCTACATTTTTCAGTAAAATAGCTTAATAGAATTATCTTTGCAAGAGGTCAAACTTAAATCAAAGAGAGATATAAATGTACCATGTAGTTATAGGCAGGGTTAGAAGGTTGACTGCTACGATCCCGAAAAATATCCTTGTCACAAAAAGTATCCCTAACCCACCTCTGCCACAGTATATCCTTGTACAGCTCATCCAGGACATGAACTAAGAGTCCTAGAAAAGTTAGTTTCAAACACATGATGCAAACTCTTGACTGTCTCCCCAGTGCGGATTACCTAATAAGAGCTCTATTTAGATCAGATTCATAATCTAATGTTAACCTCAAAAACATTTATATTATACTTCAGTTTAATGCCTCTATTTTGTCTATAGTTGGTCGTGGTGTCTCAATTTTAACTATCTTGGACTAAAACATATCAGAACTGAATATGCCTATCTAAATAAGATAGGGGACATAATGAAAAGGAACATCCTGCACAGAACTTTGACTAGCACACAGGGGTCTAGGAGTGGCAGATGTGCTCAGCACTGAATAACTGACACGAGGCACACCCACGTGTTGGCAGTGTTGTTTTATAATGTTAACGTTGTTAAGGTAAATTACTTTGGCTTTATCAATTTTATTTTGCTTAACTTGTAAATATATGTTTTTAGAAGGAAGATGAAATGTATGGTCATATCCAGGATTCTTTTGACTTCATCTTTTAAGGACAAGTACTGCTTGTGTTTTCAAGTTTAGAAAAATATGTCCTTTGGCATGTTGAGACATTGACTCTCTTGTTTTCACCCATTTGAAATCTGAGTAACTCATGTGCATGCGTGTATGCGTGCATGCGTGCATGTGTGTGTGTGTGTGTGTGTGTGTGTGTGTGTGTGTGTGTGTCTGTGTCTCTCTGTGTGTGTTTATATCAGCGAATACAGACAAGGTAATTCATGTTCAAGGGTCTAGGCTCTTTGATGCCTAATTCAGACCCAAGAACCACAATAACCATGTTAATAAATTATAATGTCCCTGTTTTATTTCTATGTCTTATACCCCCTAATTTTAGATTACTCATTTCTTCTCATTTGGCCTCGTCTGAGCAATTTCCTAGTGCAAATGTATATTTTAAAATGGGCTTAAATTCCATAGTCCTAAGGACTGGAGAGAAGTCACAATCCTCCACTGTATTTTATCACTTGGGTGACATGGCTGGGGTTCAAATACAACTTGTTATCTCTTTCACGGCAATAAACATTCCTCTGTGTGTAAGGGGGTATGTGTGCGCATGTACACATGTCCCTGTTCATGGGTGTAGAGGCCTGGAGCTTGCCAAGTAGTGTAGTCTGGCTGCAGGGATCTGCCTGCTTCTCCTTACCAGTGTTTGGGTTATGAACATGGCCACCATCACTGGCTTTTCCTCCTGAGGCTCCGAGGATGAGAACTGAACTCAGGTCCTTGTGTTTGTGTCGCAATTTACTGGCTCGACTACTTCCTTATCCCAAGATTCTCTTTTGAAGAAAAATGGTTAATTCTTTGAAAATTTTATACATACATGCAATGTATTTTGATCATATTCCCCACCCCTTCTCTTTAAAAAATAAATTTGATTATTAAAAAAACTTTCAAATAAATAAAAACTTCACACAGCAAAATTGTTTTTTAACAACCCGTGGAATCTAATTTGTGCTGCCCACATACTCATGGGTGTGGGGCCATCACCTGAGGCATGGCCAGTGCACCAGGGCCACAGCTTCTTTTTTCCAACCTAACATTTTAATTGATTCTCTGGGAAATTCACACCATTCACTACCCAGTCCTTCCATGTCTGACCCCTATCCTTGTGACACCCCCCTCTAAGGAAGGAAAAATAAAAATAAGAATTTAAAAATAAAGAAAAAAACCAAGTCCAATTTGTGTTATCTATATACTCACTGGAGCGTAGTCAACGTCTCAGTCGCCTACCCCTGAGACAGAGTGGAGTCCTTCCCCTCCCGCACCCCTGCCAGAAGTCATCAGCTGTGGGGATCTACACTTCAGCATCCGCATCACATTTCTTAAGAGTTCTCTTAGGTGGTTGCCTGTCTAGGCTGTTAATTTGTGTGTGTGTGTGGCGGGGGGTGGAGTAGGGGGTAGGAGTTTTCACAGAAGCCTTCCACGTCCCTCCTCTAACCTTGCAGTCTGCAGTCATAAATATCACAGCAAAAGTGACCCCCTTGCTCTTCACAGGGCCACATCTTTAAAGAAAATGACTCCCCCTTTCCAGCAGTCACTACCTGTGGATTCCTCAGGTCAAGGTGAGGACTGGTGCACACCTCTTTTCTCTACACTGGGAGTCCACCAGTGCAGTGGTCCTGTCATGTCCAGAACACACTGTTTTGTACCAGTCCTTCCCCACCTCTCGCTGTTACAATTTTTCCACCCTTTCTTTTTTGATGGTCTCAGTGCCTTGTGGGGATGGGATGTGACGGAGATGTCCCACCTCTAGGTGAGCACACCAGTCCAGATGTGGCAGAGATGTCCCATCTCTAGGTGAGCACACCAGTCCAGATGTGGCAGAGATGTCCCATCTCTAGGTGAGCACACCAGTCCAGATGTGGCAGAGATGTCCCACCTCTAGGTGAGCACACCAGTCCAGATGTGACGGAGATGTCCCACCTCTAGGTGAGCACACCAGTCCAGATGTGACGGAGATGTCCCACCTCTAGGTGAGCACACCAGTCCAGATGTGGCGGAGATGTCCCACCTCTAGGTGAGCACACCAGTCCAGATGTGACGGAGATGTCCCACCTCTAGGTGAGCACACCAGTCCAGATGTGACAGAGATGTCCCACCTCTAGGTGAGCACACCAGTCCAGATGTGGCGGAGATGTCCCACTTGTAGGTGAGCACACCAGTCCAGATGTGGCGGAGATGTCCCACTTGTAGGTGAGCACACCAGTCCAGATGTGACGGAGATGTCCCACTTGTAGGTGAGCACACCAGTCCAGATCTGACGGAGATGTTCCACTTGTAGGTGAGCACACCAGTCCAGATGTGGCGGAGATGTCCCACTTGTAGGTGAGCACACCAGTCCAGATGTGGCGGAGATGTCCCACTTGTAGGTGAGCACACCAGTCCAGATGTGACGGAGATGTCCCACTTGTAGGTGAGCACACCAGTCCAGATGTGGCGGAGATGTCCCACTTGTAGGTGAGCACACCAGTCCAGCCCACAGCTCTTAATTCTAAGGTGATGACTTGTGTCTTGTTCCCAGTGTAGCTGTCAGCTCAGTGGAGTAGATGGGATTCTTGTTCCAGGAAGCTCTGTTAGTTTTCCAGTCTCTTTGCCTTTACCCTCACGTTGTGGCCCCATCCTAAGTCTTGAACTGGGAAAAGGGTGTATCAGTAATTACTGCACAACAGACTAGTCTAAAACTTGGTGTTCTGAAAGAGCAGTGATTTGTTGTTACATCCGTGTGTCACTGGACAACCTATTCTGTATCACATCATGGTGCCTGGGAACACTCCTGCCTCTGCATAATTCAGCTCTTGGGGGGTGGACTTAATGCATCAATTCTCCTCCTCATGACCCCTCTCTTTAGCAGGATGGTTTAGACTTGCTTAACACATAGCAGCTGGGTTCCAAAAGGACAAAGACCCATATGTAGGTGTTTTTATCATTTCTGTTTACACTGCATTTCCTATAGGCTTGAACAATTCACACAAGCAGACCTCCTGAGAGGACTGTACATAGTATAAACACGGGAGGTGTGTGTGATAAACTGGTCACCATCAATGTGACAGTCTAAGTCACTAAGGAGAATCTGGCTATGCAACGCTTCTGAAGGTTTTCAGTGTCAGTCCAGTTAATGTGTGTGGTGTAATTATCATTTTATTAGGAATTAGGTACAGACTGCTATTCACTAATAAGGATGGAATGGCACATATGTAGATACACCGTGTGACTCTGTGGTGAAGGAGACAAGAGTTCAGAATGGGCTAATAGTAGCTCTGATTAGTCTTCCTTTAAAAGCTTCCAAAACAAACCTTGGTTCAGAGTCAGTAACACAGAAAATCAACCTTAGACTAGACAGGAAACATGGCGCCAATGCAAAAAAAATAATAATAAAAATAAAAAATCTTGTATTAGGTAAAGTTCCTGTCAAAATGGACCATCAATTCTCCACACACTATCAAAGTCATTAGATAAATCAATACAGTATTTCCATCTAATTAAAAAATATTATGGTGCCTTAAGATTAACTTTTGTGAAATACAAATCCATTCATGTACTTAATATATTATCCCTATACTCAAGAGTTTTGAAGTTCAAGTATTTCATATCTGACACCAAGAGAAGAACCTTTCTGGGGGAGGGTAAATGAGCATGGGGCTGTTTCCTAAGGTCAGATTTAAGGGAGAAGTTGAGGCATGCAAAACTTTGGCGAAGATCTCAAGGAGGGGAAAAAGCGATTCCACTTTCTGATGAACCTCCCTGAAAGAATGTATTAAAGGCACCTGTGCTTGGGGTCCTTCTTGACAATAGGATTTCGTCTACTTTTATAGTCCAAATGCTTAACTGCCTATGAATTGATCATAGGGTTAGGACAATGAATGTGATTGGCCAACAGTATGAACGCTCATTATCCGTTTGTCTTGATGGATCAGGTGGCCCTTTGACCCACATAACCAATACATCATGTCACCTGTAAATGTCTGATCCAAACTTATGAGGGTGACATTACTCTGTTTGAGAGTCCTCTACACACAAAAAGAAACATAGGTAGGACAATATCTTCTTGTGATGAGACAAATGCAATGATGACATGAGGCAGGGTATTACTGCAAGATGCAGGTAACTTTCAACTGTCCTTAATTAGGAACTCAAACACCGAAACATTTTGGTCTCAACATTGTAGAAATAGAGATTGGGAGACTAGCTTTTTGGATAAATGAGGCCACCACCCCAGAAACATTTTTGTTTCAGAGTCCCAGAATCTCATTATCAATCTGCCTAAACCAAATCATGCCGGTATTAACCATAGTCAAAACTGGTACCAATGCACTTTTAACCAGAGATACATAACGGGATCTTAAGCCTTTCTTCCAGGACTAACATATTTCCTTAAAAATTTAAGCTCAGTCTACGCTTGGGCAATAATGTCATAGGCTCTAGTACTTTTTACAAACGGTGAGCAGAGCCCTCAAGCTCCTGCGGAACTTTCCATGGTCTCAGTGCTAGTTTGGATTGTTTTCCTGATGGAGTTGAAGTGGCTCCAGTAGGCCACCCGAGTGACCATGTGCCCCTTGGTGTGGTGGTGGCTGTTCGGCAGCCCTTCCACAGCGGGACATCACATATACCTGAGGTTTTCGAAGTCAACTAGAACCTATTGTTTCTGCTGAGTCCATATATGCCAGAGAACTTGAGTGGCTGAGAATTTGGCGGGAAGGGAGGGATGACCAGAGGGGCATCTTCTGGCACTTTCCACGGAGGTTACTCTCTGGGTGGGGGAGGGCGAGACGCACCCCCCTCCTCCTCCTTTAGCAAGTGCACCTCAGCCTGAGATTTGGGGATCGCCTCACCTGTATTTACAAAACCCACCACCGCACTCCCTACACCCAGCACCGGGCTGCCTCGCCTTCCGCAGCAAGCCGCGGCTGAGACGCGGGCGAGCCGGACCGACCGACCGACCGACCGATGGGGAGGACAGAGACATAGGCGCGAGCGCGGGGACCGGGCAGCGGGGAGCGCGAGCGCGGGACGAGCGCGGCTTCAATTAGCGAAACAAAGCAATCATGGCGGAGCAGGCACACCGGGCTGCGCGCCCCGAGGACTCGGCGACCGCCCCGCGCCCTGGCCGGTAAGTGACGCGGCGCCACGCGGCCTCCGCGCTCGCTCCCGCCGCCCGCGCCCCCGCGCCGCCCCCGCCTCCGCCCCGCGCAGCTGGCGCCGCCGCCGCCGCCGCCAGGCCCTGGGACCGCGGGGGGCCCCGGGGCCTCCGCCTCGGCAGGTGCCGGCCGGCCGCGCGCCCTCCCCGCGACCCCGGCCCGGCCCCGAGCTGCACCCCCGGCCGGGCCGAGCGCCGCCGTGCGGGCGGGGTGCCTGCACCCGGCCCGCGGACCCCGCTGCGGCCTCGCCGCTCCCGCGTCCCCGCCTCCCGCCTCTGCTCCGGCCCTCCGTCTCTCCTTGCTCCCCTGCGTCCCCCAGACCGCCGCGGGCGGGAGTGGGTGCCAGTAGTCACCTCCCGCTGGCCAGCCGAGGCGTGACTGCGCCCTCGCCTTTGTGGCCCCTGGGCTCCCTTTTCCCCACGGGACAGAACTCTGGCTCCTGCCCAGGCTCTTAGGATAGGGTCTTTGTGATGAGATTGGTACAGCCCTTTTAGAAGATAGGAAAACAAAGGCGACACGTAGGGGAAAACACAGGGCAGTGTTGCCCACAACAGAGGGGCTCTCGGTGTTCCCAGAGAAGAGGGTTTTCTTTAAGGAATCCGCCAAGCATCATGAGCATGTAACCGACAAAGCTCCTGTTTAGAGATAAAAGGCAATCCTTCTGTCCTTCAAGGGGAGCTCAATTTTCCTGTTCAGAGGAACGCCCCTCTCCCTTAATGTTTAGTGGTCCACTTGTTTGCCTTTCTCGTCTTTGGCCTTTTCAGGACCTTAGCTAACATCGTACCTGTCTTTGTCACAGCAGAGAATGTCTGCTGGGCAACTGTTTTCTTACATATGTCTTTTGAGTCTCTGACATCACTGTGCTGACAGGTTACCAACAGGCCCTGCGGATTGTGGTGCAGTGAATTGTTTTATCATCTAGAAAGAAAATGCTGATGACATTAAAATAGTCTTGTATTATCATAGCAGTGGAAATATGGCTTTTTACAAATGTGAGCCAATGGAATTAATCATTTGTTTTTGCTGGGGATTGAACCCAGGGCCTTGTGCCTGCTAGACAAGTCCTCTATCACCAAGCTACACTCCCAGACTATGATGTCTTTAATCACAATTTTTATTATACTTCTTGATGGCCCATCTGTAGTAAGACATAGACCATTTTTTTTCTCTTGAAAGAGACATAGCCTCCCTTTCTCTTGAAAGTGGCAAAAATTGGCAATTGATACTCACTTAAACCCAGATAAACACTGAGCAAAGCAACACACCTCAAAAGTTCTCAGCAACTCTCTCCCTCTTTAGTAAAGCAAGATTATTTGCTTCACAGTGATCTGTTGACAGACACAGTCCTTTACCTTACCACCCTGCTCCTCAGTTCTGTTTTGGCCCATGGTCCTTTCCAAAACTAAGATTTACTTACTCTAAAAGGGACAGGAACGGACCAGGCAACACACCTTAGTTAACCCACCCTAGGACTTGCTGGAGATAGTAGTTTGGTGAAGATTGTACATGTTTATCTTTCACAGTTATGTGGACATAAGGAAAACAATCTGGTGCTTCCTAAGGAGCTTCTACCAGACACTTCACACGCCAGTGAGATTCCATTACTCAGTAACCCTGAACTCATTCTCATAAATGGATTTTATGTTGACTTCCTGCCCGTACTGGGTCAGAGATCATTATTCTGGGAGGAAGTGCATTGGCTTCTAAAGTGACGTTAGTAGAGGCAAAAAGATCAGCCTTGGGGTTATAGATCTTGCTGACCCATTAAGGGTCAGTAAATTAGTAGACTACTTGAGTTGACACTTCTGATCTCAACTTAATGGGTTGATTAACTTATGGCTGCTGTCTTCATTATGGGCTATTAGCACATTGTTAAACTGGATCTTAGACTTAGGAATTGTTTTTATGTTTACTTTTTGGCTCCCAAGGTTAATCAATATTCATTATGGTTTTACTTTTTTTTAAACTGAAAGGTTAGTTAGACTCTTCTATAAAAAATTCAATACATTTATGAGTTGAAGTTGCAAAAGTGTCTGGCTGAGGAATTTACAACATACACAAGGGTACACATTAAGAGGCAGCATCATAAGAAGGTAATATAGAAATGACACACACATGTTAAGGGATTCCTGCTAGTCACTAGCACCTCTACCCTGGTGCCCTTCTGTGTGCATTTCAGTGATAGCCACACTAAATCATGACATCCAGACCTCCACTGATGGCTTGTGTAACTTCTAGATAGGAATAGTCAAAGCCTAGGCTTTGCCTACCAGGACATGTGAATCTTGGGTCCTAGTGAGGAACATTTTTGTGGTCAGCATATCTTAGAAATCAGTCTTTAGACTGCATTGTTAAATCCTCAGACTATGTCATCTTTTCTTGACTTTCTTGAAGTTTGTTGAACATTTCAAGATTGTTGTCATCCTGGTGATTTGGGAATCATCAATAATCATTCTTTAATCTTGCCAGTTGGCAATTAATATGTTAACAATGCTGGAGAAATGGCTAGAGAAACTTAAAATTTATTCACTCAGTCACGCCATTAATTAAGAGGTGTGTACACTGATTCGGATGAAACTTCATTGAACTGAATTGAACTGGTTGGCTGGTAAGGTGTTGAAGAAAACCAAAACAGCAAACAAAAATACACTCAAACCCAAGAATCACGATGCTTCCATAATGAACTCCTACCAGACACTGGCTCACTCCTTACCTTGAGACTCACAGCCAATCCACAGCCCTCCTTTGGGGCCTAGAAAACTGAGTTCCTTCTGAAACCATGCATGTACCTCTTAACCCATCACATAAATGAGTGGGTACGTTTTTCAAGCTTCTTTAACTTGAAGAGAATTAAGATATTTTTATATGTTTAAAACCAAGACTTAAAAGAATGACCAAAAAGCCAAGGAATGATGCCCCAGACCATGGAAGGCTGCTTATTTGTCAGAGATGATCAACAACCTGACTGAAGGGCTAAGCTGCAGGCAAGACTGTAGGAGAGCAAGGAGGAATACGATGGTCAGAACCCTAGAGTAGATCATTTTAAACCAGAATGCTTCAGGATGATGGTACCAAAGGTACTATAGCTGGAAAAAAAAAAATCAGTCACAGGGCCAAGTTTCAGAGAAAACACAGTCTTAGTTAAAACAGAATAAAAATAGCATTAGGTACGTTAAAAACTCCATAGCAAATAAAATCTGTGCAAGCACCTGCCTTCAAAAGCAGCCACATTTTTAAGTATGAAAAGCCTGTACCAATAGGTAATCCTCTTGCGTCATCGTCTTTAGGCATTCAGGGACACATGACTCCATGGCTGAGGTCTGCCCAGCTCACCAAGCTCTAGGTAAACAGATTATTTTTGGTTATGAAGTGTTGGAGCTCATGCTGGCTTGAAATTCAATCCTTAGTACTTGCTTTCACCTTTATTTCATTTTCTTAAGCCCTGCCAAAATGTGTGTGTACAGCAATACAGCCATTCTACAAATTATCTTGATATTTGAGGATTTGTTTTTCTCTGTGAATCTGTATCCTCTTTTCAAAGGTAGAGGGTATACTCTAAACAGACTCTTCTCTGAAACATCTGCTCACAGCTCACCAGAGACAAGAGCGATGCTTTGTGTTGTGTTCTGCCAATGACTGAATGGAATCAGTACTCTGTAAGAAGGTTTCAGACTTGTGGTGTGTAAATGTAAAGGAATTATTGAAACTTTGTTGGCAAGAGCTTATTAAGTATATGTATTTTGTGAGAAAAAGAGAAACAAAAGCAAGACATTTGGCCTTATCAGATGGCAATCTGCAGATGGATTTAAAAATATGAATTTAGCTTAATTAAAAATAAGAATTATTTTTTAACTAATTGTTGGCTTTGTGGTAAGCTACATGCTTGAAGGAAGGCTGTGAAAAATAGTATGGAGCTACAAAAGCAATGATCTTCCCAGTCTTCAATCCTGCCTAGCTCAGTAGAAGCAGCAGTGTGAACATTGTGGCCAGAGGACAAGACAGGGTCAGGGGGAGCAGCAGCTGGTATCACCACAGGCTCCCAGCAGCTCCTCAGAGATGCAGCTCCAGTCAGTTACCACCAGGACACAAGCTCCGAGCCAGGAAGAAGGTGAATCAGGACAACGGTATTCAGGAGTTGACATAGAAGTATGGGTATGGTATTCAGGAGTTGACATAGAAGTATGGGTATAAGGGCTTTCTTCTTACTCCTGAATCCTGTAGCTTACATAGAGGCAACAGACTCAACCCTGTGGAAAACCTAGCTCCCTCAGGGGAATAATGTCTCTGTTGTGTGTGATTCACGGAGAAAGCAAAACCAGCATGGCTGCAAAGGTTAGGTGGACAGGAAAGAAAATTGCAGCAGCTGATCATGTAGCAACCCAAGGAAGCTGTAGACTTACCCTGTATAAGCATCTATAATACAACACTCCAGTTGCATACAACTGGGAAACAACTTTATGCCCAAATGGAACCATGAACCCAGGATTTCATATTTCTAACAAGGCATCTAAAGTTACTTTAGCATATATAGAATTAACATGTCAAAATTATCGTATGAAACCCTTTCTGTGTTGTCACGATTTGGTGAAGTTTTGAAATTGAAGAAACTACAACCCGTTTGTCCTGGAGCCACCCTTTCCCCGTGAAAGCCTCTACATACAGAGGTGTTAAAACTGAGCGCAAGGAAGCGGTCGGAGTTCGGACAGTGATGTTCGATTATCGATTGCTTCAGCCTTCTTTACACCAACACATTTCTTTAATGACTTCTTGAGGGCATTATGTAAAATTTAACACAATTGATTAAATTATAGTAACTCCCTGGCTAACAAAACAGAAGCAGCAAACATTAAGCTTCTTTACCATTTCATAGTTTGTTGAAGAATGTAACATATAAAAGAAGCACCTTGGACTTAAGAATATCACACAGTCAAGAGTACATGGAACTCATGTCTTGATCATTTAGATGAACATC